AATAATCAAACGGAACTCTTAGAGATGAAGGCTGTAGCACAGGAAATCAAAATCTCCTTGGAAAGTATTAATAGCAGATTAGATCATGTAGAAGATTGAATCTGTGATCTAAAAGACAAAATATCTGACTTAGACAAAATCAGCAAAATGAATGAAAAAATAGCCTAGAAAAATGAAGATAACATACAGGAAATACTAGATGCCATTAAACATCCAAACATCTGAATAATCCCAGAAGGTGAAGAATATAATAAAGGCATTGAAAATTTATTTCATGAAATACTTATAGAAAACTTTCCAAATTTAGAGAAACATTCAAACCTCTAGACCCAAGAAATACAAAGGATCCCAATAGAATCAATATAAGAAGATCCTCTCCATGATATGTCATAGCCAAATTAGTCAAAATCACAGACAAAGAGAAGATTCTAAAAATGGCAAGAGAGAATCATCAAGTTACTTACAAAGGTTATCCCATTAGGTTAACATTGGACCTCTCAACATAAACAATGCAAGCACAGAAAAAATGGGAATATATATTTGACAGACTAAAACAAAAACAATTTCAACCAAGAATACTATACCTAGAAAGATTATCCTTCAAATGGGAAGAAAGGACATAAACAGTCTCGGATAAACAAAATCTGAAATGATTTATCAACACTAGACCAGCTCTTCAAGAAATAATGAAGGAAATACTGTTTCAGGAAAACAAAAGAGAGTCAAACAGAAATAAGAGAACAAAACCAACCAAGAAAATGGCTAACAAAATGCAGAGACAAATCCACAAGTATCAATAATAATGTTGAATGTTAATGTGTTAAATTCTCCAATCAAAAGACAGACTGGTTGAATGGATATAAAAACAGAAACTATTTGTTGTCTACAAGAAACACATCTCATGGGTAAAGACATATATAGACTAAAAGTGGAGGGCTGGAAAAAGATATTCCATGCAAATGGAAATCTTTTAAAAAAAAAAGTTGGAGTCACAATTTGATATCAGATGAAATAGGCTTTAAGACAAAAACTGTAAGAAAAGAAAAAGGACATTATATAGTACTAAATGGGCTAATTTAACAAGAAGATATAACCCTTATAAATATCTATTTACTTGGGAGCTTCCAAATACATGCAAAAATACTGCTAGATCTAAAGGGAGAGATACGCTTCAACACGCTAATCATTGGAGATCTCAAAAACCCACCTGTCCTTTGGACAGATTGTTTAGACAAAAAAAAAAAAAAAAAGCAAAAAGATACAGGATCTAAATAACATCATAAATCAAATGGACTTGACAGACAACTTTCCATTCACTAACCACAAAATATTCATTTTTCTTGTCCTGGCATGAAATGTTTTTGAAGATTGATCATGTGATAAGGCACCAAAGAAGCCACAAATTCAAAGGTATAGAAACTATATTCAGCATCTTCTCCAACCAGATGGAATTAAATTTGAAATTAACTGCAGGAAAAACCCTCAGATATACAGAAATATATGGAAACTAAACAACCTATTCCTGAATGACTTCACAACCACTGAAGAAATTAAGTCAAAAATCAAAAGATTCATTGAAACCAATGATAATGAGTACATGAGCTCCCATAACCTATGGGACACAGTGAAAGCAGTCCTAAGAGGGAAGTTCCTAGCAATTAGTGTGCATAAGAAAAGGATGGAAATGTGGCAAATAGACAACCTAGTAATATACTTCAGGGAACTGGAAAAACAACAACAAAACCCCACAGAATGCCAGGACAGAAGAAATAATAAATAGTTGAACAGAAATAAATGAAAAAGATATGCAAACTACACAGAAAATAAATTAAATCAAAAGTTGGTTCTTTGAAAATGTAAACAAAATTGACACACACTTAGCTGGACTAATTAAGAGAAAGGGAGAAAGGAATCAGATACATCAAATCAGAAATGAAACTGGCAATATTACAACAGACATAACAGAAATACAAAAGAAAAAAGCAGAGGAAGTTATAGTCAATGCAATCAGACAAGAAAATGAAATAAAAGACATTTAATAAAGAATAAGTGAAAATATCTCTATTTGCATATGACATGATTATATATATATAAAACCCAGAAGAATCCACAAGAAGAAAAACTCTTAGAAGTGATCAATGAATACAGTTAAGTGGCAGGATATAACATCAATATACAGACATCAATAGTTTTTCTACACGTGAACAATGAGTAGATTCAGGTACAATTGAAGAAAACAATCCCATTTACAATTGCCAGAAAAAGTATATGATACCTAGGAATAAACCTAAGCAAAGAAGTAAAAACCTCTACAAGAAAAACTAAAAAAGCTTTGAAAAGAAATTCAAAATGACACTGTAAAGTGAAAAGAAATTCCATATTTCTGGGTTGAAATAATTAATACAATTAAAATGTAAATCTTATCCAATTAATCTACAAATTTAATGCAATCCCAATCAAATTACTAGAGATATTCTCCACAGATTTTTTTTAAAAATCATAGAATTTCTGTGGAATCATAAAAACACCCCATATTGCCAAAGCAATACTGCACAAGAAGAGTGGGGAAGGAGGCATCACTCCGTGGCCCCAAAACATATTTCAAAGCTGTGATAATCAAAACAGCATTGTATTTGCATAAAACAGGCATGTAGACCAATGAACAGAATAGAGACCTGAGAAATAAACCCCAAAACATACAGCCAATAGATTTTTGACAAAGAGCACCAGTCGATCCAGTGGAGTAAAGAAAATCTCTTTAGCAAATGGTGCTGGAAAAACAGGGTAAATGGACCCATATCTCTTACCATTAACAAAATTTAACTCAAAATAGGCCAAAGATCTAAACTCAAGTTCTCAAACTATAAAACTACTAGTGGTTAACTCAGGAGAAACTGTTGGAAACATTGGAGTAGGCAAAGACTTCTTAAATAAGACCACTCAAAGCAGAGGCAGTAGTTCCAAAAATTGACAAGTGGGATTAAAAAGCTTCTGCACAGTGGAACCAGCAGATGGCATAATGGCTACATCACTGAATTCCCATGTAGTTGACTGCGGTTCGAGTCTCAGACCCAGTGGCTTAAACTCACACTGGGTGTGTGTGCGTGTGTGCCCAAGATCCCGAGAGGAGAATGGAGGAGAGGGGATTGCGGCATGGCCAACCCCCTGCGGGTGCTTTCTCACTTTCTGTCTCTGTCTTTCTGGAGAGTGCACGTAACCTATAGGAGAAACCTCGCCAAAAACAAAAAACAAAGAAAGTAAAAAAGCACCCTCAGGGAGGACAGCCATGCCACAAATCTCTTCTCCTCTCAAGTTTTTAGGCATAGACACACAACATGATTTTTATAATCTGTCGGGTCTGAGACTTGAACCGTGCTGTGCAGTTGGATGTGTGAAATCCAGCTGTGTCTATGATATGCAGATTTTCATAAAGTTTATATATTTAATCTCAGAATGTCACTGCATTCAAATGAGCTAAACAGACAACTCTCAAGGAAGACATATGAATAGCCAAAAAGCATATTTTAAAAAAAGTTCAACATCCCTTATCACAAGGGAGATGCAATCAAAACCACAATGAGATACCACCTAATTCTGTGAGAATGACTCAGATTTAAAAAAAAAATGATAATTGCTGGTCAGACTCTGGGAAAAAGGAACTCTCCTACACTGCTGGTGGGAATGTAAATTAGTACAACCACTGTAGAGAACAATATGGAGGTTACTCAAAGACCTTAAAGAAGAACAAACATATGATCCAGCACTTCCACTCCTGGATATCTACCCAAAGGATAGAAATATATTCAGTCAGAAAAACACTTGTACAGCCATATTTATTGTGGCATTATTCACATTTGCTAAGATATGGAATTAATCCAAATGTCCAAGAACAGATGAAGTCATTGAAAAGGTGTGGCACATAAACACTATGGAATACTACTTGGTCATAAAAATCAAGACTCTGGCATTTAATAGAAAGTGGATGAATATGGAAGAGTTACTGCTAAGTGAAGCTTGCCAGACTATGAACAGAGGGACTGTATGTTCCCAGTCAATATATACTGAAACTCCAAGACTGGAAGGTATAAAAGCATGGGGAACAACTGTGGATACTAGAGACAGTATAGGAGGAGGGTGAAAAATGGGGGAGGATGAAAGGAAGGGAATAAAGAGGGAAAAGAAAGAAGCAAAACATTTAAGACACTCAAAAATGAAAATTTTTCTGATGATAATCCATATGGTAATATCTTTGACTGGACTAATAATACACATTATATTCATGCTGGGAAGATTCATTTTTTATGCTATAATGATATACAGTGGTTGAATGTAAAAAAATAAAATATATCTATCGAAAAAAGAAAGTCAATGATGATGCTGTTAAGAATTAAGAGAAGTGTTATAGACAATTTCTCTGAGTGAAAGGGTATACAATCGAAGTATCTAGTTACAATTTATTATCAGTGATTTTCCAGGATTAAGTAATGTTATGGCCCCTGTTATCCATCATGATCTTTTCTACTAAATATAGCCCTCAGGAAATATCTTGTACTCCTTTTGGTTTTGAATATTTTTACACTGATTTGTAAGCAGAATCTGTATGATCATACTGTTTATCTGATATTTTGGCATTATACATGAGCACTCAAGAGAAATCCTTGGTAACATTAAGCTAGGAAGCGGTATAACCTTATGATTTAATGTGTAGATTCTAAAGCCATACTTCCTTAGTTCAAATCCTGACTTTACTACTTCTTTCTGTATAAGCAAAATCAAGTTAGTTAAGCTCTCTGAGTCTCATTTTTTTTTTCAGAGTTACTGTAAGGATTAAATGAGAAAATATATGAAGAACAATTAGTGTCTGGCATATATTGACACATGTGCTATTACTATTATCTCTAAGCACTAAATGTAACAGGATATAAAGAACTCACAAAGATAAAATACTGAGAAACCTCCAAAAATGAGACATAATTCCAGGCAGGAACACCCAAACTCACCTACACAGTTGAAGCGTTTCTCTAGTTTACATGCGCTTGAGCAGCCATCTCCACTCAAAAGATCTCCATCATCACACTCTTCTCCCAGGCTCCTAGACGGTAAAAATACACACACATACACATAAAATGATTTTTCTTATTTAACTATCATTATTTAAATTTCTTAGAATTCCTCATTCTAAGGGCTAGCAGATGGCATAGTGATTACATGACTGGACTCACACATGGCCAACTATGGTTCAAGTCTCAGACACAGTGGCTTCAAAATCATGCTAGACACATGTGCATGCATGCCAAAGATCCCAGGAGGAGAATGGAGGACAAGGGATTGCAGCCTGGCCATTCCCCCCTCAGGGGTGATTTCTCATATTTCTTCTCACTGTCTGTCTCTCTGGTGAGCATACGTGCCCTAAGGAAAAAACCTCTTACAAAGAATAAATTCCTCATTCAATATTAAAAAGTACAAGTTGGAGAAGGCTGGATGGTGGTGCAGTAGTAAAGACTGACAGTCTTTAAGGCTGAACCACAGGGAAAGTTCCAGGTTCATGTTGTAGATATCCCTTAATACACTGGACATACTGCGTCCAGGTTTATAGTGCACTGGACACCCTGTGTCCATGTCTGGGAGCTGAGGCTGGGGTGGATCATGGTGTCAAGACCCTGGTGGGGATGCCTATCTCTTTGTTTCTCTCTCTCTCTTTTCTTCTTTTTCTCTCTTTTGCTCATGGAAGAAAGAAACTTCTTTTTTTCAAGTACACAATGGAGAAAGGTAGAAATTAAGAGAATATATTTATAGAAAAAACAAACAAATGTACAGACATTTAAAATAGATATGATTTAAGCAATGATTGTTGATTAGAATGTTTAGTAGGTTGTGGGAATTTCTAGAAGTCAACTAACCACGTTAGGACTTGAAATGTCTAGATGATGCATGAGTCCTGACCATGTTTCTACTAGATGATCTTAAACTTAGAAAAGTCTGGGGCCAGCAGATGGCATAATGATTATGCAACTGGACTCTCATGTAGTCTACTGTGGTTCAAATCCTGGACCCAGCAGCTTAAAACTCAAAGGTATGGCCATGAAACTTGGGGGGTAATTTCTTGCTTTCTGTTTCTCTGTCTCTCTCTCTCTCTCTCCAGTGAGCACATGTGTCCTATAGCAAAAATCTCTCTTTAAACAAAAAGAAAAGAAAGAAAGGAAAGGTCTATAATAAATGGAGTTTAGAAATAGCTAATTTGGCAAGAAGGAAATGCTCACTCATTGTGGAGTGTTATTTTCTACTCGTTTTATCTGACACTTCTTCAGAATTTTATTGTTTTGTTTTATCTAGTTTTAGTTGTGGTGAATATTGGGATTCTGCTGAACTGAATCTCTTGTTTATATGCCCAGAGAGCCTCCTTGCAGACCTCAAGTCAGGGCATCGCTAGGATTTGGGTCCTTGTCCTTACCCTCCTACTACCACCTGGTGGCAGTTAACATATATTGCAGGTAAGAAAGCTGCTAAGAAGAAAAATGTTTTTGTTTTGAACTTCAAATGCATATACAATAGGTGACTAAATTTGGATTGAGGTGGGGGAGTCATCTTACAATGAGTGAGGGGGACATGAAGCATTTCATAGGGAAAATAATTAGATAAACTTGAGTTGGAGCTCCAGTGAAAGAACCAAGATTTGACTATAGCAAAATAGAGGAGGAGCACTATTTTTTTCTCCTTGACTTATTTTTACCACCATGTTCAAAATGGATTTTACATTTTAAGTCAGTAAATAAAGGGCTTTAGCATGCTAAAGTATTTTCAGACCTGGACATCACTAAGAGCTCTTACTACCATTATTCACAGTATACTTCAGAGGGGTGGATTAAAGATTAAAGAATAAGATACAAGAATGTTTTTAAGTGAATTTAAAGTGCCTTAGCTGTGGTGGTGTATGCTGCTAAGATGCTGTGCATTACAAGCTGGGATCACATGAGAGGCCCGAGTTCATTTCCTGGTCCACTTTAAAGACTGCACCTGTTATCCCAGTGACTCAGGAAATTGAGGCAGGAATATCACAATACAGTGAGACCCAGCCTTAAAATAATTAATTAAATTAAATATAATTAAATTAAATTAAATTAAATATAATCATATTTGAAATAGTAAGCCAAAGTATAAAAAAAAAGTATGAGAGATAAGAAAAACAACAATAATTGAACAAATTAAGAAAACTTCACATTTTTTTCTACATAAGTGACGTGAGTCAATGAAAAGAGGTTGCACTGAGGACCTGATCAGATGTTTGCTATCCACTCAGTCTCCAGATACTTTACACTTCACTTTGCTCTTCTGTGGAGAAACAATGGTCTATATTGGTGGTTCTCTACATGGAGTCCAGGATGTAATTTTGGTACCCAGTAATTTTATATTTTCATTTTGAAGGTAATTTAAACAATGAATATAAGTGTATTGAGTATAACCTTGTGCAGTACTACCCAACAGAAATCTAATGAAGTCTATATATATATATCCATTTTAATTTTCTAGTAGTTATTAAAAAGGTAAAAAGAGGTGGAGCTGGAACTAGCAGATAGCGTAATGGTTACATTGCTGGACTCTCACGTAGTTGATTGTGGTTCAAGTCTCTGACTGGCAGTTTAAAACTCATGCCTGGCACATGTGTACATGTACCCAAGATCCAGAGAGGAGAATGAAGGAGAAGAGATTGCAGCATGGCCATCCCCTAGGGAGTGATTTCTTATTTTCTGTCTCTCTGACAAGGGCACATGTCATACAGCAAAAAAAATCTCTCTCTTAAAAAAAAAAAAAAAAAAAAAAAAGAGGGGGAGCCAGTGATTCTCTGGGTGCGTCATTTCCTGGCAGCACCAAAGAGATTGGCCTACAGCCTGGCCTGCAGAGTAACATGCCTAAGTTTTATTGTGACTGCTCGACCTCACCCATGATTCTCCATCTGTGAGAAAGACACCCTGTAGTGGTAAAAAACACAAAGAGAATGTCAAAGACTATTATCAGGGACCAGCAGGTGGTATAATGGTTATGTCTCTGGGCTCCCATGTAGTCAACTGGGGTTTGAGTCCCAGACCTGAGGGCTTAAAACTCACACTGGGGGTTGCATACCCAAGATCCTGAGAGAATGAAGGAGAAGGGATTGTGGCATGACTGTGTCTCTCTTTGTCTGTTTGCCTCTCCAGTGAACACACATGCCTATAGCAAATACCTCTCTTAAAAAAAAAAAAAAAAAAAAAAGATTACCATCAGAAATGGATAGAAGAGCAGGCTCAGAGTCTGATTAATAAAACAATAGCTACATTTCAACAAGAGAAGAAACCTCCTACTCCATTCTCTACTCCTCTTCCTGCAAGGGTGATGATCCTCCCCCCCCCCAGTCTCTTGGGTCCTCCTCGCCCTGGCATGATGGCAGCACCCCATATGGGGTAGGCCTCCCATGATTCCAATGATGTGCCCTCCTCCTCCTGGGATGAAGCCAGTAGGATGTGCTCCTGGAATGAGGCCACCCATGGGAGGCCACATGCCCACAATGCCTGGGCCCCAGTGATGGGACCCCCCTCCCATCCCATGATGGTGCCCACTTGGCCAGGAATGACTTGGTCAGGAATGACTCTGCCAGACAGATAAGAATGGAGGGAGGCCTCTTTATGTCAGTTTTATATTAACTTGTTCTACTTCACCAGGAGATCATGGAGCTGTGACTCAGGGTGTTTTCTAACACCATGACAATGAAGACTTTCTCCTTTTTGTATTAAAATAAATAAATAAACATAAGAGCAGTTTTGGAGGAGAAAAGTGGGACAAAAGCACAGTTTTCATTTGTATTGCAAAATGTGAAAATAGAATCATCAATTCTTCTAGTTTAAAAAAAAGTAAAAATAAACAGGTGAAATTAGTTTTCATATATTTCATCCAACCCAACATATCCCAAACAAATCATTTTAATATGTATTCAGTATAAATTTATTAATGAGGCATGTAACTTTTTTGCATTCTAAGCCTTTGAAATCTAACGAGTACTTTCAGAATTTATTAATTTGCTTCTTCTATGAGAGAAGCAGAGACAGAGAGACAGGCACCCCTTCACACTATAAAGACAATCTGTCAGCCTAGACTGCTTAGGGAAGAACCAGGGTGCAAACTCAGGATCTTTACAATGTGGGTCCAGTTGATTTACCACTGTTCCACCACCTAGTGTGTATATTTTTGCTTATAACACCTCTCAATTATAAAGCTTAATCTTTACTTAGATTTCATGAAATTCATAGTTAAAAAAGCAGATTCACCTCCCCAAGTTGTTCCAAATGGGCTTTCTAATAACTGAATTGAGTTTCAGCTTTTAAACTAAATGTAGATTACTGAAAATTAAATTAAACTAAATATTTAGGTTTTATTAGTTACATTTGTCACATTCCAAAAGTTGAAGAGGCACATAGTCTGTAGGCTCCCCTATTACAGAGCACAGGTTTAGATGATCAACTTTTAAAAAAATATTGCTAACAATTCCAGAGTCCTTCATTGTATTAATATTTGCTTTGATCATTTGATTGATAAGTGATACCCACATGGATTAAATTATTTGTATGGTTCTTTCTTTTTTTATGTGTCGCGGGTACTCCTAGCTGACCCAGGTCTGGAATTTAGAGCTATCTTCCCATTGGATGGCAGTGCTAATTACTCTACACAGAGAATGAACACCGACAGAAATTTAAAAGAACTTAAAAAGAACATTTTGGTAAAGAACCATTTGAGATCCAATAGTAAAGCAGTGTTACCACGAGTGAAGCTGCGTCAAGGCACAGGAGAGGGTGTGCAACAGTAGCTTAGGAAGAGGGCCCTTTAGCCCCTTCCCGACCCACACCCCTCAGGTAGAGGGGCCTCAGGGTGGCTACCATCAGAGCTGGAGTGCTGCCATGGGAGAAACTGTGACATAGAGCAGTGTTTTTATCAAGGAGGGTTCTGCCAGCATAGCAGTGGCAACCCAGACCCCAAACACCTGAACAGTGTATCGTAGACTTGAAATGGAACAGCTGGAACAGGGAAAATCCCAACAGGAATAGACTTGTTCAATGCACAGGAAGGCATCCAGGAGAACTTAGGTTTGAGATGGGGGAGGGGAGGCAGCAGGCTGAGTTAGGCAGGAAAAGGCAGCAAACCAGCAAGGTTGGGGTACTAAAGTGACCTCAACTCCTTCTGTATATTAATGAGATTTGGGGACACTTAGTGTTCATACTTCTATGAAAAGGAATAAGCTTACACTATAGCTTAAGGATCTGAGAAGACTGCGAAGATAAACAAAGTTTTGTGACTGCTAAACAATGGTATAGAATCCCAAAAAAGACTACAGAATTTATTCCATTAAGACTTCAAGATATGATATATTTTTCACCTGGTTTGGAAAATTTAAAAAATCAACTATATTATTAGCATGCAGAATCTAAGACAGATCATAGCGTATCCTACTCCAGAAGCTTTATGTAAGTAGCAAGTTAGGTTAGATGAACAATAAGAAAGGGAGCCTGAATCTCCTGATCAGGGCAGATCAGGGTGCCCTTGCTTGAACCCTGCCATACACATACTCACCCTGACACCTTCCCATCCCCACAGTAAGGCGCTCCATGGATGTGGCTCAGAGGGGGTGATGCTTCTCCCAGTTCTCCTCCAGCTTCAGCTTGAACTTGGTACTGGTACATCTCCCCCGGAGTGACCTCCCTGTGGAAACCGATGGGCTTGTGATTATATATCCACAGAGTGAGACATGCCCTGCACCCTTTGCAGAAGCTTTGCATATGGGCAAGGGAAATATTCTGGGAACATTAATGTTAAACATATGCTGCCTTGTCTGGAGCAAAGATCAGGGCACATAGTCTTACAGAACAGCAGAATGTGTGAAACCGTATTTACCTCTGTATTCCCTGTACATTTCCCATAGTGCAATAAATGCTCACTGAGTTAACACTGAAGATGACAGTTCTGGACAATCTAGGAGGATGGTATTTCAAGTGTATTTTTACCATTTTAAAGCAAAACACCTATTGAAAACCCAGTCTTCTGTATCTTCAAAGAAATCAAAGAAACTGAAGCTGAATGTTCCAGAGTTTGGGCTCAACAAGACCTTTCTTTGGTCTGTGGATCATAATTTTCTTCTTTCTCAAGAGAAGTCTTGTCTTGAGAAGGCTGAATCCTTAGGTGTAAGAGCAACTGTCTCACAGAAGGAGATAAGAACATCTAACACTATTTGGGGGGATGCAAGAGATTCCACAACTAGAAATACATTAAATTATCCCATTTCTAAACCTGTTAAAATGCAAATGTACCAGAAATGAGTTTTATCAATTGACACCAGAGATGGAAGGAGTTCATCAGTCTCTCCCTAGGGGTCCAGTGCATTGATCCAGGGGGGAAGCATGAGAGATGGGATATTTAGAAAAGGAAAGGGCTCACAAAGGGTGGATGCTTGTTCCAAAGTCTGCCCTCATCTCAATATTGTCCAGTGCCTGCCCTAGTTGGGAAACAGCTGACAAAGTCAGGGTAGGATGGCAGTTACTTAGGACAGGATCTCAAAGGTTGCTGAGACTGCCATGAGTGCTGGCATAAATCTCCGCCAAGACCCTGTCTTCTTTAACAGACTCTCCTGTTCAACTGCAAAGCCTCCACTCCCTCCTTGATGCAGCAACCAGCAAACAGGAAACATCTTGGGGTTTCAAAAACACCTCTAAAAACCTCTGTACTGGCTTTTAAGTATTTTAATAGGAAAGACACCTAAATATTAAAAACTTTTAAATTTATGAATTCGTTTTCCTTTAGGGGAAAGCAACCCTCTCATTGAGAGTGCCAGATATTTCTAAAGCAAAACCAATTTTATATCTTAATCAATGCTGATGATTTCCCTTTACAGGGTGGTTTCTGTAGGACTCCTCCAGTGATGCATAAAGTCTCGTACTGTTCTGTGGCTGGGAAAGGACTGGATAAAAACATTAGCATGTGTTTACTCTTCTTGGGGGATAAATTCAGCAGCAGGTAGCCCAGGCGTCAAGGATCTGAGTTTGTAAAAGGCAGTGTGTTACTGAGAAAAGAGGACTGCAATGAGATTCAGTCGGAAAATTGAATTTTAATCCTGAGTCTGCCATTTACAGCTGTTCAACCAAACTAAAGTTAAGCACCAGAGTTCTCGTCTATAAAATGGAATATTATTTGCCTTCAATTTTATATGTGTATATGTGAATATCAAGCTGGATAACAAATATCATTCTAACTGCTCTATTAGAAAAGCCCGAAAATAGTACCCTTTTAACTCCACCCTGTGATTCCTCCTCCCATTTGCACTAGCTTTTTGACTATTTCACTGGCTTCTAATTATAAGTGAAAGAACAAATAAGGGAAGAAACGCAATGTAACTCAAAGTAGATATTGTTCTCTCCTCTTTGTGTAGCTACCCCATGGCATATGCCACCTTCTATGATGTGACTGTGGCCCTTTTCTTGTCAAAAGGGAGAATTTATTTGCTACCCCTTGAATCTGGAATTGGCTGTGTAACTTGCTTTGACTAGTTACATTATCATGAGTAACAAAAAGCAGATATTTGAAAAGTGCAAACATTTTGGGGCTTGCCCTCCCTGCTGCTGGAAACTTCCACCACCATGAGAAGCCCAGGCCAGGTCTTGAGAGACTAAGAGGGAAGAGGCCCTCACTCTTCCAGCCATGCCAGCTGTCTCAGCTGAGGCCTCCAATATGTGCATGAGGTCATCCCGGGCCATTTAGCTCTGGCCAAGTCAGTCCAGACTAGAACACCCAGCCCACCCCTTATAATCAAAAGAAACAGTGTTCATTGCTTTAACTCTATATTTTGTGATGATTTCTAATGCAGCAAGACCTAACCAAATAACATCTCTGATAAAACTTTGTTTTACCCTAGATCTGACCTCAGGGCAATCAGTCTCTGAATAAAATGATGAGGTGAGGAGAATGTGCCTTTGAAGATACCAGCCTTGTTCCCAGACATGGAGTCCTTGTAGGTAATAACTTTATCTTAGTCTATGTCTCCAGCACTGAGTATACAGTGCCAGGAACATAGAACTCACTAAAAGTAAAAGGAAGGAACAGAAGTAAGAGAAAAAGGAGTGGCTGGAAGAGAAAGAAAGAAGGGAGAGAGAGAGAGAAGAACGAGAAAAGGGGGCGAAAATGACATGCACAACAGGAATGAGTCATGAAGCCAAGTGTAGTGTCTGCAGGCTCCTCCTGCTCTCTGCTTAACTCTGGGAGAGTCGCCTATGATTTTTTGAATATTTTAGGAGCATGGCAGATTATAAGAACACTACAGCAAGGAGTCAGAACTTCAATTGCCACTGGATAGGAGTGTCTGATTCTGATCAACTTATTCACAGCAATTACATTCAGTTTAATCAATATGTATCATACACTAACTTCTTTTGGCCACTATCATAATGGTGACATCAGCATTCAGAATACTTGTTTGTCCCTTTCTGGGAAATATTTTTCTCTGTCTTACATAGGCCATTTTAGAATAAAGTTCTCTTTGAGAATCTAAACATTTCTTCAACTAAGGGCATGATGGGATATAAAACAGTGGGGAAAAGGAAACGAAACCCCACCCCAAAGCCCCAGGAGAGCCCTGCTGCCCAACTCACACGTCTGTGAACTTCCTGCGAGGGTGTGTCACCACCATGGGTGAGCCACTGGCAAATGGGGGCTCACGGAGAATCTGGTACCTCACAGGCCGGCAGCCAGAGCACAGGGGACTACGGGGCTGAGAAATCAGAAGGGCCGCGTCAATCTCCATTCGCTCATCAAAGGTGTAGACTTTCACCCCGAAGACCTTTCCAGCCATGTGCAATTTGATGGTGAGTGGGGTGTCACAGAAAGTGTCCAAGGTGCCTAGGTGCACAGACTCCTGGTTTTCCAGCAAGATCTCCACGTCGAAGAGTGCCTGGGAGGAGTCCATGGAGAGGTAAGTGACCCATAGGGTGAGGGTGTCGGCCTGGACTGGGTGTTGGAAGAGTAGCTCTAGGCTACAGCCCTCTGCAGGGCAGGGCACTGTCATGTTCATGTGGTACAGATGGAGCTCAGGACTCCAGGCCTGTAAGCTGGGCTCACATGGCTGATCCACATCTGGGGGCCCTAGAGGGGATGAACAGAAAGACACGTCAGGAACCACCATTGAAAATGTGTAAACAGGGACCAGCAGATAGTGTAACAGTTTTGTCACTGGACTCCCACATGACAACCACAGTTGGAGGCCCAGACCCGGTGGCTTGAAACTCACACCAAGTGTGTGTGCATGAGTGCCCCAAATCCCAAGGGGATGGAAAGAAGGGATTGTGGCATGGTCATCTCCCCTGGGGGGTGATTGATTGCTTTCTGTCTCTTTGGTGAACATACACACCCTATAGCAAAAATCTCTCTTAAAAAAGAAGAAAAAAAAAAAGTGAAAATGAGCAGTCTAAATCAGCAAACAGAAAAGGAATGAAGAAAGAGGAATGCCTACAGAAGCTGGTCAGGTTAGCCAGTTAGAACCTAAGTACTACTGATAACAAAGGTATAAAAGTGAGAAGTCTGAGGGGCCTACAAGTGGTGTGGTGGTTAAGGCACTGGATTGCCACATGGCCAGCTGCTGTTCAAGTCCCAGGCCTGGTAGCTTGGCTTGCCTTTTCACTCTTCTCTTTCCTTCTCTGTCACTCTCTGGTCAAATTAAAAAATGATACTAATAAATAAAAAATTCTTTTAAAAAGTGAGAAGTTTGATGCTTCTGTTTTTTTATTGCCTCTGTGTGGTGTCCTTCAGCAACAGAAATCAGGTAGGTAAATGGAGATAGAGGGACCCAGACCCTGGAGGATGCATGAGGGCAGTAAGGAGAAGTTAAGTCATCCCCTTACAGAATCTTTGACCAGAAAAGATGTAATCAGTTTATTAATAATTTTTAAAAATTAATGCTTTTAATGTCAATCTCAGGGTTAATTTCAGTCTGTCACTGAACTCTGTAGTGCTCACCGTTCGCTCTCTAGGAGTCTACCCTGGCAATCCTTTCAACTGACTGTTAACCAGATTTTAAAACCATATATTGAGGGCCCTGCAGATGGCATAGTGGTTACATAGCTGGACTCCCACATAGTCTACTGCAGTTTGAGTTCTAGACTCGAGGGCTTAGACTCACGCTGGGCACATGTGCATGCATGCCCAAAGTCCTGAGAGGAGAATGGAGAAGAAGGGCTTGGGATGTGGCCATGCCCCTAGGGGGGATTTCTCCCTTTCTGTCTCTCTGTCTCTCTCTGTCCCTCTGGTGACTGTATACACCCTATAGCAAAAGTCCCTCTGAAAAATATAAAAACAAAAATATAATGAAATTATCCTTTCAGTTCAGGTGTGTGCCAGTAGGTAGGTAACTGTCAGCAGGCAATACAGACACGTATTATTGAATGAGAAAAAATAGAGATTAACTAGCCATGTAAAAATGTAATGGTGAAAACTCAAATATCACAACTATAAGTCAGCTCTCTAAAAATAATCCATATAAGGGGGTTTTACTTTTTTTAAAAGAGGTTTTTGCCTTAGGGTGTGTGTGCTTGCAACAGAGAGAGACAATGAGAGGGAAAGTGAGAAATCGTTCCCAGGGGGTTGGTCATACCACAATTCCTTCTCCTTCATTCTCCTTCTGGGATCTTGGGTATGCACACACACATGCCTGGTGTGAGTTGGAAGCCACTGGGTCTGGGACTCAAACCATGGTTGGCCACATGGGAGTCCAGTGACGTTACTGCTATGCCATCTGCTGGCCCGGAGAAGGCTTTCTTGTGTGTATCGTGTTCTCCTGTATCACCTAAGGGGAACTGAGGAGAGAGAGCAGACTAGGCATCAGCAGAATTAGGCTCTAACAGGTGCTGTGCCATTAGCTGTGGGACTGTGGCTTAGAAGCCTCAACCTCTTCATTTACATAGTACGTAATAATATTTAACCTCTGCCTTACTAGGCTAGTGTACCAGATCTGTACAACATGTCATAGAAGTGAAGTGTCTACATTGCAAAATGAGATGTAGCCCTTCTGTATTTGGAAAATTAAGAATGTCCCAAATCCCAGAGGAAACAGGTTCAAGTGTGTGTGTGTGTGTGTGTGTGTGTGTGTGTGTGTGTGTGTGTGTGTGTGTGTGTGTGTGTGTGTGTGTGTGTGTGTGTGTGTGTGTGTGTGTGTGTGTGTGTGTGTGTGTGTGTGTGTGTGTGTGTGTGTGTGTGTGTGTGTGTGTGTGTGTGTGTGTGTGTGTGTGTGTGTGTGTGTGTGTGTTGTTACATCTTATGGCCCTTGTTGTTTTGCCTAAATGATGAGTTCATTCATTCATTCATTCACTCAGTAGAAGTTGACTGTACTTCTTTTGTACCTAGCACTAATCTAAGTGTTGGAGATAGAATAGGAATCAAGATAGATGAAGGTCTTACTTTCATATATTTTACAATAAAATGACAAATGTAATAATAAATAGATAAGAAATATAAAGTACAGTTTCAAGTAGTAATGACATCTTCAAAAAAATAAAGGAATAAAAGGGAATAGAGAATTATGGGTGGGGTGGGAAGTTATAGATTATGAAATCAGAGAAGTTCTCTCCAAGGTGATGAAAATTAAGCAGAGATTATATCTGGTATAATTTTCTATTTACCACAGCATTTAGAAAGTTGTTGCAGGTCAGTAAATGTCATTTATGACCTGGACCTTCAGCCTTTCAAAGCAAAGTAAGACCAGTATTTCTTAGTAGTTCTTTCTGATGCTTATCCCAAAATACTAGCAGAAGAAAGGCTCTTGGAAGCCAACCCAAAAGCAGTATTGCTTGTCAACAAGTTTTAGTGTGACTTCATGTTAAAATACAAAAATAAGCTCCTAAAAGGTGAGTTGATATGTTTCAAGACACAGTATGAGAGTTAGAACCCAGAACTTCTCATTTCTTTTTACTTTTACCACATAAGTTTGAATTTTTCCAAGAATTAAAAAGAAAAAGGGATAGGGCTAGGGAGTCAAACAGGCATTAAAACACCAGCACAGAACAAACTGTTTGCCACAGAAACGGTCTTTTATGAAACGCCAATCTCTAAGTGAGTCCAATGCAGTAAATTTTATGTTCACTTTCCATTCTTCCCGATGAACTCTCATATGAAAAAAGTCATATACAATCAATCAAATAAATGGTTTTCCTCCAGATTCCTCCTTGAGGTTCCTATCACTTGAGTAACTAGGAGCCTAAGCTGACATCTTGGAGATACTGTAGGCTTTCAGATCAGTGTCCTCTATTTCCTGTCATAGTCAGGACTATAAATTATTACTAATTGAATCTGGTCCAAGGCATCTTACTGAGTGGTTTTTAGGATCTTAATAAGTATTAATAAAAAAAAAAGGAAAAAAATAAAAAAAAAAGATGATGATTGGGTAAACACTGAAGGTAGTAATGATAGGAAGAGTCAAGCCATTCATCAGGAGGTGCTAAAACACATGTCAACTGCAGTTTCTAGACTTAAACTAGGCAAAGATTCATGCTGTCATTTTACTTAGGGGCACTGGTATACATCTGTGAGTGAGTATGTGACTGCTTGAGATGTTGGGGGAAGGACAGGAAAAGAGAAGGCAAAAAACATTACCCCCTCCTAGAGCCTAGCTTAGGTCATACCCAAAGCACAACCAGTTCCAGTGATTAACAGACTCATAAACCAGTGTAGATGAGAACGATCAGTGTGGAACACCTAGTCCACCCCGCCCCCCAAGACTCACTCAGCCAGTGCATGAATGTTCCCTGTGGTGTGTTCTCTGCTCCTCTCCTGAGTAGAGGAGTAAGAGATCAGCTTACCCTGCCATGTGGCAAGGCTGCTCCATTGGCTAGTAGGCACATGTGACACCGAAGGCCCAGTTCTCTGACCCTGAAGGAAGCCCCTGAGTTCAGCCTCCTTCTCCATCCCTCTGGCTTCTATGCTGAGCTCTGTTCACTGTAGCCGTCAGGCCTCCACATTAAGCACACATGGAGCATTGACTCACAGAGGCACCAGGCAGTTTCTCCAAGTCCCTGGAGAGATCTAGCAAACCACACACACATACACACACGCACGCACACGCACACACACACACACACACACACACACGGCCCTTTTTTTTTTTTTATATAAACACAGGGCTTCATATTTTACCTCCACTCTTACTCCCAGTGGCCACTAGATATAAATCACTAAGCCAGGGTACTTTACCCACGGCCTCCTCTGGGGTCCAGTAACCGGAGGAGTCACACACCCGCCGGGAGGAAGCCGCATGCACATACTGACGGAACATCCCATCTTCCGTGCAGGCATCACACATGCTTCCCAGGGCCCTGGGAAGACAAAAGGACAGAGATGCAAAACTCTGTCAGATAAACTGAGATAAGCAAATTAGGAAGAACTTTTGTAGGGGCAGGCGAGCTGATCAGTAAAGTCCTAGAGGGTAATTAGGAACACAACTATTTTTCAACTCATTTCCTTCTTGGGTAAATCTCACCTTTGCAAAATTCATAGTGACATGAAAAATCTCGAAGTCATGAAGCAGAAAAATTTAACTAAGCCATAAAGGAAGCCCGTGGAGATGAAAGCGGGCAGCTTCTGCCCTAAGAATGTTAAACACAAAACAATTACATTCCGAATTCATTAACATAAAATTCCTTTCTACAGACTCTCAAGAAATTATTCAAAGACCCTTTGCAATCTCCCCACTACAACAGATAATAATTTCCAGAATTAATTTATTACATGTGTTATAATGTTTTAAACTCCCTACTTTTAATCACATACAAAAAAAGTTATCTGAAATGTAGTATCCCTTGGCTCTCAGTTGCCTACTGGGATATATCTGAATTCCTTACCATGACCCAAGGTCCTTCACAGGCTAGTTCCAACCTCACCTATTTCAGTCCCTTCATAAATTTTGTATTCTCATTACAATGACTATATCACCACTTCAAAAATACACTGTACCTGTCACACAGCTCCATGAAATATGCTTTTCTCTCTACTTCCACATAGCATTTCCAAACTTCTCTTTTTAGCAAGCTCCTATACACTCTTCAAGACCCATTCAAATATAACCTTTGCAGTGACACATTAACCCACCTCCTCTCAGTGGTCAGTACTTTCTTCTCTGTGCACCTGCTGTGTCTGCTGGCTCTTCTCTAATGTGGTATTGAGAATTTCCATTCACATTCTTTCCTCCCCTCTGCCTGTCTGCAGGCTCAGATCAAATTCTAGTTTTCCTTTTACTCCCAGCAGGCGGTACAGGGACTGCACTCAGCAGTCCCTCTGTGAATGCTCGTTTTATGGACATTCGTGAGAAGATTAATACAGTCTATGTAGAGTCTACAAGTACCATATTTGGAGCAACCAGAAGAGGTAAAGTCAGTAATGGCTAAATAGCAAGGGGAAATCACATTGCAAGTCTTGTCTCTGATACTTAGTCTTTTTAGATGCCTGACTGTGAATGACACATATGAAAATGGAGGCATCAAATCAGGGTCTCTCAAGGTAAGAGCAGAAGATCAGTTTCTGGTAATATGCTAGTAAAACTAGTATTAGTGAATAAAGGTAGTAATTACAATAGCAACTCCCGTTTGTTAAGCACCTCACATACCTGGCATTGTGCCACTCTGTGCTTTTCATAAATTGTTTCTAATTCCTGTAATAACCTCATGTTTACAAATGAGGAGACTCAGGCACAGAGAGGTTAAGTCAATTGCCTAAGGTCACAACAAGTTTCTTAATTCCTTCGAGCAAGTTCCCAAACCCCATCTAGTGTGCAGGAGTTTGGCAATTACAGGGTGTAGTTAAGAGCCAATCTCTGACTCCAATCGGCACTCCTTTCTAATGTGGACACAACTCCAAACCACACTTCCTTGGTGCATGTACTTGGCCCTTCCAAGGCTGCTGCTGAGTACGTAGCTGGGACTCCTCTCTGACATAAGGACCCAAATACCTACTGGGGTGGAGTAAACATAACTCCAAGCATGACATAAATCGCTGTGCATGTGACGTGAGTCCCCCTGACGCACGTGTCAGGAGGCCTCCAAACTGTAGCCCACCTAGCAGAGAAAAGGAAGTAAATTGCAGTCTTTTCTGCCAACAGACTCTCAGCAAGCCAGTACTGATGTCTGCTTTATCGTAACGTTTGTACCGGAGAGAGAATTGAAAGATTAAATTGTTTACATGTATTACATAAACTGATATAAAACTCTGGTTTGCACAGACCCACAGAGCACTTACTGTTCAGCCTGTCCGACTAAAGCTGCACAAGGTCACACTTGCAGGAAGATGATTTTTACACACATCACATAAATGCGTGCTGACTCACAAACGGGGCCTGTGAGAGCTTGCATGCTGACGACAATGGAAACAAATTTTCAGGGTTGTGAAGCCTGAGTGTTGTCATGCACTAAGTATGTACTAAAGCGTCAGGGACAGGCATCAAGATCCTAGGAGGCTGGGAACACAACTTTCCCCCCTGTTCTTTGCTCCCCAGAATTTCAGTAAAACTGGAGGGCATAGAATCATGCTTTAGGGACATTCAACTCCTCAGCTGGGCCTAACACTGGAGGGAAAGTGAAGTACAAAGAAGAAGAGCCATTACCTGCTAAAGGAGAAAGTTCTAAATGAAAAATAAAAACACTCATCTATTCTGTGTTCCACATTTCTGAATTTCAAGTGGATTTCCCCAATTCACTGTTTTTGTGAAGTTTTGTCCATGCATTTCTCTATGACTCAGATTTCACCCATATAGAGCAGGAGCTAAGCTTACTGCAAGCATAAATATGACAAGGACACGTGAACTACCTAATACAATACATTACACACAGTAGGGCCACAAAGATGACAGCTGCTTCTGTTATGGAAAATATGGTGCTGATTTTGAAAGAGGCCAGTGTGTCTTCTCAGACTGCATCCCCCCACCTCTGACTAATTGTCAGGCTTATTTTTCCCTACCTTCCCTTCCTTTTTACATTTTTTTTCCTGACATTTATTTACACCAATATGCAAAGGATTAATGAAAGTTGGATTTAGGCTTAATGTTTTTCTTCTATAAACACATACTGGGTATATTATGGCAGGTCAAAAGACAAGGCACAAATATATAATCCTGCCCACCTCTCCTACAGTTGCCAGTCAAATAAGTCAGATGGGAGAATGAACAGATAATGGCAAATCCAGAGGCAGTGGCCATAAGTGGGGGGAGGCCCAGAATGTAACAGGAGGCAGAGAGGTACTAAAGGAACATCCTACTTCCCTTCCCCCAGTACCCCTTTGTAAGTAGCAAGCCACTGCTCCACTGTCACACCCTGGAGAAACAGCCAGCCAAGACAGGTGGCAAAAGTCCTCTTGGTTCTGCCAGTGCAACCTGCTCACATCACTCGACCTCTTCAGAGCCCTCCATGAGGAATGAACACACACGGTGAACATCAGCTCTTACGGGAGCCCATGAGCTCTGCCAAGGAGATGAGAGAGGAGCAGGAAGGAGGAGTCATCCCTGAGCAGTGTCACCATGTTCACAGTTCCAGGCTGAGTTCTCCTCACTTCACATTTTTCCCTGTATTCATACAAAAATGCTACAGAGAAAATGGACGAGCTCTAGGCCGCATGGCCAGCGCCTCTCTCTCACCTGTCGTACACAACTCCACTAATGGGAGGCAGCCAGTGGATAGTGAGAGACTCGTGGGTCTGCCCGATGACCATGGGTGGGATGGGGATGGGGGTGGGCTTTCTGCTTTGGCTCCATTGCTGGTATACAAGGTCCAAATAACAATGCATTCGTGCCACTTGGTTAGGGGTGAAGCTGTCAGTGCAGTCATCGTCTGCGGAGACAAAAAAGGGAGCACAAGAGATGGAGGGGTTTTTGTGGTGGTGTTCCATTTTAGGTTTTCTTTTTTTCTTTCTTTTTTTTTTTTTTCCCTATAGGGAGCATGTGCTCACGGGAGAGAGGCAAAGGGACAAGGAAAGTGAGAAATTCCCCCCTCCCCAGGGGTAATGACCACACAACAATCCCTTCTCTTCTGTTCTCTTCACAGAATTTGGGGCATGCACGGGCACGCGCCCAGAGTGCTTTTAAGCTTGGCATGTGGAGTTGGCCCTGTGGGATCCGGCACCTTCTGCTGGTCCAAGAGATGGAGGTGTTAACCTGTAAAATCCATGAAGGCAAGGGTAAATCTGGCCTTGTTCTCAGCTGAGCTATCGGCACCCAACCCAACACCCTGCCCTGATCAGGTTCAATAAACACTGTTGATTGAATAAATGCATTCTGATTCAGGAAGTATCTAACCCGGGAGTGGGAAAGAGAAGGCAGAGACATAGCACTTGCTGATCTCTAAAGCAAGGCTGTTAGCCTAATACTGGCTGGGGTGCCCCAGGGAAAGCTCGTTTTCTGGGGTACAAGGCTGCTCTGAGTCGATGCTGCTCATTCTGCAAACCACAAGATGGCAGTGTTTCAGCAGGTGGCCCTTCATTGTGAACACTGGCAGAGTTGCAGACACCTGCTTTATTGTCCGGTGATGCTGGTCAGTGAGTGTTTAGTGAGGATGCTCAAGGGGAGAGAAAGCCACAGCAGCAAGGCAGCCCCAGGGCTGGGAAGAGTGGTCCCAGCCTTACTTCTGGAGTTGGCAAAGTCTCCCTATTTGGTACATTTTTCATAGGGTTGGACGGGGACTGATCTTAGTTTCAGAGACTTTCCCAAAGAAAACACCTTAATCAAATACTACCCCGCCTGTTTCTTAAATGTTTCCTCTCTACATCTTAAAGGCGGCACCTAAAGAGCTCTGGCCTCGGGCCAGTCTGTGACATGGTGGTTAGCATGACTGGATCCCACATGGCTGACCACACAGTTGAAGCGCCTGACCCAGTAGCTTGAGACACATGCTGGGCATGTGTGCTCACATGCCCAAAATTCGGAAAAGAGGGAGAGATGAAGGAACAGAGATTGTGGTGAGACCATGCTCCATGGGGAGAGGAGGCGCTTTCTTACTATCTCTCCCTGTCTCCCTCCAATGAGCACACTTATCCTCTGGCAAATTTAAAGAGAAAGCGAGAGAGAGCTCTGACCTCTGCTCCCCACTATCTGTTTTCTCTGGCCCTGGTAAGGACCCAGTGTCCTTGTAGAGGTAGGCAGAGGTGCTGGTGCTTAGGAATTGAAACTGAATTGTTTAGAGCAATCAAAATTGTACAGAAATATCTTGGTCACAAAAAGAACCAGCTTATCACTCTTCACTTCAAAGTCATAACCAAGATTCGAAGGTTTATCCATTTTCAGACAATTCTAGAAGAGTTTATCACCAAATGAGTCTCTGGAATTTATAGAAAAATTACCTTCCTTTCCCATTAGAAGATCAGTAAATCAGATAAAATCACTCCTTAATTTTAGGGATAGATTTGAGTCTGTTTAGTATTATTTTTAGCCAGAAAGGAAGAAGTGAGAGACAAGAAATAAAGATAATGCAGGGGATGAATTAAAGAAGGATGAAATCAAACCATACAAGTTTTCTCATCTTTAAAATGAGATATCATCATTTTGAATGGGAGGAGGAAGAGGCAAGTTAAGAATTAGTGTTTGGCTGTATTGGAAGAAGAGCAGCTGATATATATCTCTAAATTTCACAAAATAAAAAGAAATCCTGAGTTTAACCTAACCAAGACAGCTGCTGACCAACTGCAAAAGTTGTACAAAGAACTACCTTGACCCAGAAATCTCTTTCCATCATTACTACTGGACTCTTCTTCAGAGCAAATGTTTAAAAATTTGAGCAAGGACAAAAATAGTCAAATTCTAGAAGTCAAATCTCAAGAGAACTTTTTGCTTTGTCCCTTTTTATTAACCTAGGTAAAGGTCTTTTCGTCTCTAGTAGAAGAGAATCCAGTTAGCAAGACTCCTTAATATCTTAGAATTTCTTTAAGATCTTCAAAAGCATGGGGAAAAGAAAAAAAAGAACATCTTATGATAGATACACTTCAACCCTCTGAAACAAATGACCCCTAATAGTCTTCTCTAGCTCCTTCACTCTCCCAGCCCACAATGGGCTTCCCTATAATCTTTAGAATTTTTGTTTGTTTTCTGCTATAGGGTGTGTGTACTTGTCAGAGACAGAAAGTGAGACATCATACCCAGGAGGAATGTCCATGCCATAATCCCTTCTCCTCCATTCTCCTCTTGGGATTTGGGGCACACATGCACACATGTACACACATGCAGCATGAGTTTCAAGCCACCAGGTCCAGGACTCAAACCACAGTTCACCAGTGGGAGTCCAGTGATATGAACATCATGCTATCTGTTGGTCCCTAACCCCTACATAATCTTAACAGCAAAAAGAAACACCAAGATTGTTGTGATACCTGTGTAACTCATGTAGTTGCTGAATGGAGCTCCCGGGAAGTGGGTGAAGCCGCAGGTGTCATTGACAGGCCCTGGGTCCTGGCACAGTTTACTCTTGGGAGTGGGGGCAGTGTCAGCACAGAGATCCCCAGTTTCCATAGATGGTACTGTCTCCCTGCAAGGGTCGTCACAGGATTCTCTTTCACTGACCCCTTTGAAGACGTGGTAGAGTCCCAGGACATGCCCCACCTCATGGATCATGATGTTGGTGTGGCCAGGCATGCCGTAATAAGTTGGGTTGAGGACAACGCCACCTGCAGTGAAAGTTTTGTAAAACATTTCTGAGCATAGAATGAACAGCAGCTCGCCAATCCTTATCTATGTCTTCTGATCAACATCAAATATTCCTTTTAGCCTCAAAAGAGACACTGGATAACTTCTAATGGCATCCACCATTGCTCTTCCCTCTTGCCATAAACACTCTTTGAGCTAATCAATAAACATTGGTTAGTCCCTTCCATGGGTGAGTGCTGCTTTAGGGACTGGGATATCAATGTGGACAAAGTAACATTATAGAGCATGAGGATTCTCAGCTTTGGCTACACATTAAAATTACCTGGAGGGTTTAAAAATTATAGAGAGATCAAAATGCTACTCCAGATGACTTAAATAAAATTATTTTAATGCAGAGATTACCCATAATATTTTTTCAATGCTTCTAAGATTGAGTGTCAGTGGTCTAGGTGAATGTACATGAGGTTGGAGCCAGGGAAATCTGGATCTGACTCTTAGTCCCTCTGCACACCAGCCTTGAAAGTTTGAACATTTATCTGACCTTCTAGAATTGTTGTAAAATGGTGGTAAAAAATACAAGCATTTTGTTGTTTCTCTATGTGTGTTGGGCACATTGTAGATGTTTAGTAAATAGCAGTTGTGCATGTTTCTGATCTCATGATTCCTTACTGTCAAGGAGCATAAGAACCAGGGAAACAAAAAACAGGTCCAACTGAGCTATCATAAGATTTAAAATGTAATACGCCCCACTTTCACTTCTCCCAAATTTCCATAGAAACACCAAAGAAGGTGTTTCAGAAAAGAGTTGACTGCATTCAATTTTAGATGAAAGATCTAGTGATACCATCATTATCCTACAAAAGAAAAGGCTAAGGATTTCTGAATGTCCAACTTTTATCTCTCTAACTTGAAAGTCCCAATTATTGCTTTGCTCCTCTCTCCATGGTTGAACCACTTGACTTTTTTTTGTTTTCATTCCCAATATTGTCAGGACCAGACCCAGCCTCATCTCTAAGACCTCATTTACAGAATGTCAACAACTCTGGATCAAGCATCATGCTCAACTGTGTTACTAGGCTGGTCTTGCCTTCTGTTAGAGGCTGCTAGTAGTTTCCAGGACTTGCTTAATTCCTCATCCCTGAGCCCTCCCTGTATCAACACTCTGCAGTACATCAGGCCCTCCAGAAGAACCTTGCTGCCTTTCTCTTACCAGATCATATTCCAGGAACTATATCCTAGTCTTGAACACTGTGCAATGCTCAACAGACAATTACATAAGGGGGAGAGAGGTCGTCACAAAGTTCATGGAAATACCTCTTATGAAAACATTCCGCATGGATTTAAAAGTTGTTTTGTCTCAAAATAAACTCATACTTTAATTCTACTGGTCTGCAAACTTTTTGAAGTCCCTCATATGTGGCTGTCTGGTCAAGACACAATCAGAGGGTATCTGTGACCATATCCACAAGTTCTATCTAATGGGTGGAATGGGTGGCTCAGTCCTACTTTCTGATGACTATCCTCCTGCAAAGGAAAGTTTCTAAATCCAAGGTCTAGACCTCCCTATACTACTTAAACACACTGATGTTAACCAAGCCATTCCCAGTCTCATCCTGAGATACAGAGTTTATTTTCACATCTGAAATGGAGTTAGACCTTCTCTCCCATGTTTGTCATTTCTACCACTTCTGGAAAAGTGTTTATCCTTTAACATTATCTGCTGTTTCCCTCTTTTTTTCCTTTTATAGGATAATTTTCTAAATATTTCTTTCATTTGTATATTATTATGGCAACATAAAGTGAAAGTAACTTGAAAAAAAAGTTTATTTCCATAGCATCCACAATGCCTAGTATTTGAATAAACCCGGTCAAGTGCAGTATTTTCACTTTCCAAGATGCTTACCACTTCATGCTCATATACCCAATTGTGGTAATAATCACCAAAATTCATACACCATTACACTCTCAGTTTTCTAACAGCAATATCAACATTCCTTCACACGAATGAGGATAATTAAAGACAACTCCGATGCTCTCTTCCAATTGTATTTTAAGTGTCTTCAACCTCTTCATCCTTCCTCCACCATACTCTATCCCTCTACAAGTACTTAATCCCTTTGCCTCCTTCTCTTTATTTTCCTTCTCTTCATCTCTCAGTGTATTTGGGATTAAAAAAAAAAAGGAACGAAAGAAAAAAATCAATAATTACCAGAAATAGGACTTTGAAAGGCTACAACTTACCTCAAAGGTTTAAGAACCCACATTAATTATTTTTCCCTAAATTATGTTCATAAATTCTGATCCTGAGCCAGACTTTGAAAAAAAAAAAAGTGATATCACTGGTTAATATGCTTGAGAAAAATGCAGCATGTCATATTCTACTCCTGATCATTTACAATGTATATGAGAATACTTACATACTTAGAGTCTTGAGGCAGTTTTGTATAATGCTTTGTTTTCTGAGTTTATTTGAAAGAAAAACTGGAGTAGAATACCTTTTGACGGCTCAGGAATATCAAATTGTTTGGTACACAGTTTAGGAAACACTGATGAAGAGAACACCCAACCAATACTTATTTCCTCATCACTCATGTTACCTCTGAGCAAACATTTATCCCCTGGGTCAGTCCAGCCGCAGTCTTTTTGTGATTGCCTCCAGTTATAGCGAAAGGAATTACAGATGAACAAAAATAAGCGGGATAAAAGAAAGAAGGAATGGCAAAGCAGCATGTGCCCAAGAAGAGGGGAATGATCCAGAGTGTGGTGCTGGGGACACTTGAGGACAATGTGGGAGTGATCATTGTAATAGTGGACTTCTCACCAACCTCGAAAAGTTTCTGCCTCAATTCCAAATGAGATATTTCCAAATCTAAGAATATTTTGCAGCAAATTTAGAGTCAGCTTTCAGTAAACCAGTTTATTTATAAATGAAGAAGCATAAAAATTCAAGTCCTCAATACTCCCAGCAAATTCCCTCTGCACCCAGGACAACTGGCCCAAGCTCTTCTCCTTAGAACTCTTGAGACACATTCCCAAAAACAGAAGAATATAAATTTAAACAGACAGCACTTAAATTTTAATTAAAAACATAAGAATTTTAACACACATTTATGACAGTTTCATTTTCTATGCTAGAGAGAAGGGACTTCCATTAAAAAATTCATCTGTTTGGGAGATACAGTAAGGAACTAGGTAACTATGCGTGTGTTAAATAGCATATTGCGGGGGCCAGCTGGTGGCATGGTTGTTAAGGGCGCTGGACTCCCACATGACTAACTGCAGTTCGAATCCTGGACCTGGCGGCTTGCTTTCAAACTTTCTCTCTCTCTCTTTCTCCCCTTTTCTGGTCAAATTAAAAATAAATAAATAAGGTATAAAAAGAATTACTTATAAATAGCACATTGTACAAAATATAGTAAAATTGAAAATATACCATGAATTAATGTTTAACTTAGGGATAAGTTCTGTACATACCAATATATGTTGAGAAAAAAGCCTAAAATCCTGGACCTCATATAGCACCTACCTGCTAAAGCACAGGGTTACACAATCACCTAGACTAGAACTAAAGGAACTTGGAGTGTGGAATGTGGTTCTGACCCAGCTAGCTCATAGCCTTGACCCTGCTGTTCAGCTCTTCCTTAGGTCTCCTCTTCTGTAAAATGTGGCCAGACTAATTTATTCCAGAGGATTCTTCCTATGTCATTCCATGACTAAAAGCCAACACGTAGGACTTTATGAGACAACCATCTTAGCATGGGAAGAGAGCTATGCGATCAAGGACTGTCACCACCTTGTACTTTGTAGTTTCTGTTCTAAGACTCTCATCCCTTGGCAGCCACAGACATTCTGCTCTCAGATCTGCTACAGACTTTCAAGTGACCCAGATTCACAGCCTATTAATCCTCACACCCTAATCCCCAGTGTGTGCTCTCCCTCTTCTCCTACATGCCCAGGCTCCCACAATGTTCTCATTCATGATTCCAACTCAATGAATTTGTTAGATTATTAGGGGAGTTGGGTTTTATTACGTACTCAGACACACACACTGTTATACCTATGCAGGTAAGAAAGGAGAGACATTAATATACTTCATGCTTCTTAGAAAAGTTACTTTATGTTTTAATAAAAATCACATACACACACATACACAAGCATGCATGCATATGAATACACGTGTAAGACCAAAACCTGGGTGAAGCATAAAGACCTATTGCCCAAATTCTATAAAGAAGAATGAATTTTTTTCATTAAGAAAGTATGAGACATGATAATAAATAATAAATAAAAGCTGAGTTCTCAGAAGGGCAAGCTCTTCCTGCCCTCTCCATTAACTGGGTCTGTGCAGGGCAGATCAGAGGAGCCATGCCTCCCCCTCTCCTTTCAGGGAACTGTGCAACTTTTTTCCAGGAGCAGCACTTTGGGAGGATGAAAAGACAGGTTGAAATGCTACTTGCCAATATCATTTTGCATTAACATCCAAACACAACAATATTCCTTCTGAAGCTGATCCCTATGCCCCACACTATCCTCCATTTTCATCACCAGCAATGCTGGCCAGATGAGGAGTAGTGACAAGCAGGTGCCTACACCCCGTGCAGAAACTTCTGTCTCTCAGGATTGCCTCTGGACTGGCCAGAGCTCCTTCTTTGGTTATGGATATTCATTAGAAATGTAATGACCCTTATTTTTGAGGACCTGCCTTAAAAGCTGTCGAGGTGATTTCCTGATCTATTCTGTGGTAACAAAAGTTCTTACCTCAAAATGCTGTTACAAAGATTAAAGTAGTAATATAGACAAGTAAGCATTTAGCTTGTTTTCTTCAACTAAGTAATTCAAAATATGCATTAGGCTATTATTAACATTATTAAAATTTTATAAAGCAGTCTGGAAGTACATGCTTATTTGCCCCCATCCCTAGTGGATCCTACCTATCTTCATTTATCAAGAGAATGGAGGGACCAGCAGTTAGCATAATGGCTATGTTGCTGGACTCCCACGTAGTCGACCACGGTTCACG